TTAGGCCAACCCTTTTTTGAGAGAGCCCTAACCACTATTGTCACAACAGAACTTACATGTTACCGTGGCGATAACCGGCTCTCTATATTCAACTAAGGTATCCATGAAGTAGTTCGTTCATCTCTTCGCGTGACGAGTTCTCACCTCTCAGATTCTACTACTGTCTAATATATAGCTCGAATAAGAAGTGGAAGTCTAGGTGTATTGTTCGTAAATATAACTGAGTAAATAAATAATAATAATTATTAAATATAATATCTACTGTCGCCATTATTGTTTTGAAGACGACGATATATACAGGACCGATGTAATATACCTAACTCACTGAACACAGCTTTTAATAAACTATTATTTTTGTACACACGAGAGCGTCAACTAACATATATATGCACCGAACATCACCACTCAGCAATAACTATAATATCCACATACTTGTTTATATAATACCAACAGTGAGTAGCGCTCGCCACACTGCAGGTAAACGAGCCCTTCCCAACGTCGTATACCCCATCTGCGCTCTTCATCATTTCGTACCCACTCCCCCTCCTGGCCAAACAAATGTAAACGTCATTATGATTACACGAGCTCTATTGCCCAAATACAATAGGCCGCGCGCGATAGGACCGTTAATCTCCAAAGTTTCGCGACTCCACTAAATTGAAGTTCTCTCACACCCGTCCTTACGTCCATAAACTAGCTCAGTCGAACGAGGACGGAAAAAAACCACAACTAACGGGCGACCGGCTTCTTATAACGACGGGAGGAAAATACACTCGAGAGCGAGCGGGTTACGGCTCCCAACAATGGCCACCGACCGCATGGTATGGAGCCCGGGCAAAGAGTAACCGGCCTGCGTCATTTTTATACCGAGGAGCGCACGCTTAACTCCGCCTGCAATGTGGGCCCCGATGCGCACAGTGGCAGAGCTACCCTCAATACACCGAGAAAACTCTATTACCCTCTGGCACATTTGCTACGAAATTACCGACACAAGGAAAGTCCTTCTGGCACCACTTTTCTCGGAGAAAAAAAACACAAAAATTTCCCCCGTCCCCGACAACCAAATAGACGCTCTCCTAAGTCCTCATCCCAATAACCGTCTGGATTACGATGTTTAGACGTCTACTTTTGTACTGGTATATAAAAACGCATACCCGGGATAGGTATCAGGTTAGCGATTACGAACTCAAGCCTTCTATATGCTATAATTCTGGATGTGTGTACCTATCCTAATCGTAATTTACACACGTGTGTAGTTTGTACAGAGATGGCCAAGGAACTTGAATAATCATTGCTAAGACTAACACTGTTTTCTTTGTCCTTTATCTTCCATGCTGAACGTCCTGCATCATTGCCCTCTGGCACATGGCTCGGCACTCATGTTTATTCATGTTTTACAACCTTATTACTTATCGGATCTGCACATACAAGATATCGATTAGCAAGCTGAGATTCCACAGATTCCAGAAATATAAGTATCATCACTTAGCGACAGGGAACATTACATTGAGCGATCAGAACCCGCGACAGGGGAAGCAAATACAGACATCACACCACGTAGCTTTGCTGAGCAAACACGGCCAATTTGTCTTACCTTTTGCTGTTTCTGATCAAAATGTGTGTTCAATGGCATCAAAACGATAAAAACGCTGCTGAAGGTTAATCCAATGGTTAATCCAATGATTACTGATAATCCATCTTCATATTTACTAGTTTGAGCTAGGGCTGCTCGATTATGGCAAACATCATAATCTCGATTATTTGGTTCAATAATTGATATCACGATTATTAAAAACGATTATCCATTTACTTTGAAAACATCCATTTATTGAAAAAAAAAATTGAACAGTATATTTTGAACAGTTGATTACCCTGAACTTTAAAGCACTTAAGATATTCATTGCTATCGGGATGTTGAGAGTATTCCATGGAATATAACAAAAAGTGTATCTCGAGCCGGTTTCTCAAACTTACCTACCCCACCTTTAAGTATAAATCAACTGAAAAACCAATAAAAAAAAATATAAAAAAAAAATAATCATTTTATTTCGATTACGTTGTTTTCATAATCGTTGCAAGCCAAAATCATAATTGCGATTAAAATACGATTAATTGAGAAGTCCTAAGTTTTAGTAAAAACTATTGTGCTTTTTGGAAAATACACTATTGCTTTTACAATCAGCCAACTAACGGTCTGTTTTCGGAGGGAAAAGACACCCGTAGCTCAGTATCTACCGACAGAACTCCAAGGACAAGCTTTACAGTGATAAAGCAAAACAAATCCATTTGACACACAGACATCTGGCTTGTGAAAAAGTTCTAATGTCTGCAGGTCGAGTCTGCTTTCAACTGAGCCTCAAAACATTTTCTTCTGCATTCACATAATCTGACAAGAGAATTCAAACATCAATTTAGAGAAACCTTCCAAAGGTCATCAGGCAAAAATCTAACTCTAAAGCTGAAAAACTGAACAGAATAGTTTCGGGAATCAATATTCTTCTACACCAAACACATCTGAGATGAAGCTGACCAAACAAACAGCCGTTTACTATTCCACTGTTGAGCCCCTTGCAATCATCCGAATAATGGCCTCATTTAGGAACTCAACACTTTTCAAAAGAAGGATGTTGCTGACAGACATCAGCACAGCAACTTACCTATCAAACGAGCCAACCCTTTTTTTGTCTTTCGTTCTTTCAAACTTCCTTTCATTCTTTCACCTTCTTTCATATCCTCTGTTTTCTAGTCTCGGTCCACTTCTCCACACTAGCTAACAGACTGTCCCTGGGTGAGAGGCAAGCAAGGGATGAAGAGGAGGAGGGGATGAAGAGAGGAGGGGGAAATACTGTAGGTGAGGGGGAATGCAGAGATAGAGCGAATGACTGTTGATCAATGAATTCCCACAGTGCCCCTCTCTCGGAGTGTGTACCACCTTTCTCTTCATTTCTTTCTAAGAATATTAATAGTGGAATTGTTTTGTCTTTTGTCTGTCAGATTAGGATATGCCTTTAAATCCCAGGAGTGTTTCAACATGCCTCCACTATATTCTCCCCAATTCTTTCCTAGTGTAACCCCCATTCCAATGGCACTCTTTTTTTATGTTTGTATCTACATTCACACTCCCTTTTCCCGAATTACCATGAATGCAATTATGAAAGGAAACTGCATGCAGGAATATAGTGCAGATATAACTAGAAGCAAACACCCCTGCTGCTCACCAAGAAACGCCTTCTGCTTTAGTTTATTTAAGGAACAGCATTTTTAGACATGTAAATGGTATTTGTACCAAAGGGTTTGTAAAAGACAGTGAAATAGAGAGATGTAAAGGCTCAGCAGAGAGAGGTCTGAAGGGAATAGCGGGAGCATTACATGAAGAAATTGACCCACCCGATCATCCGTTTACAATACCATCCCCCATTCACTCAAACAGCACAGTCCCCTTATTAAGTGATCATTACATCCGCCATTTCTTTTATTTGTGTGTTTATCTTTTTTTTTCTCCATCTTATAGTCTTTCACACACACCTTGGAGCACTTCACTTCAAAGAGATCTTCCATGTGGTTGACAGCCACCACTCCAACACACACACACACATACTCACGCTAACACACAGGAAGGCACAATCACACGTTGCACTCAGCTACACACACAACAATAATCGCTCTTACTATTCACCTTCCTCACACACACTTCACACCCACCAGCTCCAGCTGCTCCACTGATGGTTTTTCTGCTTTTCACCAGCCCCCTCCCATTTCTTGGTGCCTCCACCCAGTGTTCCCAGCTTGCATTCAACATAAATGCAAGCCTCTTTTCCCCATGAGCCTCACTCCTAACCTTCTACCCATTAACCGATGCTACCTTTCAGCATCCCTCTCCTGAAGCGATGCTGCGCTCCAAGAGCCCCTCAGCCCAACCCCCCCATCCCCTGCTCACAGAGTGTAACAGGAGGACAGCCGGCTGGTTGGGAAGCACAACACGCAGAACCAAACAGATACCTGCTGTACAAGTAAGCAAGGAGATTTTTGACATGCCTTGGGATGGTGCATTGCCCATGCTGCGACACGGACCGCTGCAGCTGAAAGTGATCGCGTTTCCTGTTCCCCCTCCTCTTTTTTTCCTCTCTCCTCCTCCCTCCTCCTGTCCCTCGTTTTCTGTTCTTCACAAAGCGCCGGGTCTCTCCTTCCTTTTGCCGGTCCCCGCGCTCCTATTCGCTCCTCTCCTTCTGCCGTCCTCCTTCCCTTTGTCTCACTCTGGCGTTCTCTTTTGCCTCCACTGGAACCTCCTTTTTGCGAGATGGCTGTGGTCCAGCAGCGGCGCTCCTGACAGCACTGCGCGTGTGTGACTGCGAGCACGTGTGTGTGTGTGAGGGAGAGGTTGAGTGGGAGAGCCTGGGTGTGTGTGCGAGAGTGTGTGAGAGAGAGAGAGAGAGAGAGAGAGGGGCGTATTCTTTAGCTGTATGGTCCTTGCATGCCGGTGCAAGGATGCTCAGCATGCAGCTAAGAATTAAGCAAAAATCTTTCCCATAAATTCACACTCTCACCCACTCAGTCTCACTTGCTCACTCTATGCCTTATTTCCTCTCCATTACACATTATATTTTCTCCCTCTCTCTCTTAAAGACACAGGCGGCGGCACGCTGCATTGCTACACGCCTCGGGCGCATCTCATGATATGGTAATAAAGGGGAGTCCAGGGACACGGATGGTCCTGTGTGGGGCTCAGCAGCTGAGCTAGCAGGGTGGGTGGAGAAATGCTTCAAGTGTCTACTGTACCATGGGGGAGGATGGGGGAGGAGGGTGGTGCTGGTGGTGTGGAGAGAGAGAGTGGAAGTGAGAGACAAGAGCGTACACTTGAATATACCCTAGTGACAACGGCAGCTAATGATGAAGCTGCGCTGGGCCCCAGGCGAGGTTGTAATGTATTGGCATGGCAACAAGCGCGCAGTGGCAGGTGAGGGTGACGAGAAGGACGTCACATGAGGGCGACCTCAGCATCTCTGTGGCCTGTGGATCTGCACTGCTGGATGTTTGTTCGCAAGAACAAATGATCCCTCTTAATCCGAGCGACTATCACCTTCACTTCACAACAATCACACTTGAGAATAAGGGCAGAACCCAGCGTTATGTCAGCTATTCAAAAAGCCTTTGAAAATCAACTGTGAAAAAACCACACTGAAATCAGTCATATACAATACCTGGGTATATGCAGGAATCCTGAAGTCAAATGTAATTTGTCTTTTTTAAGACCCTTTCCATTCATTTTAAGACCTCATCGCCACTTGAGTTGAGTTTTAACCGGTTACATTGGCGAAACACTTTACCTCACATTGACTATATACAGTATTGATTGTCCTTCCTCCTTATCTTCCAACCATTTGGACGCAAACTTGCATTTCCCCATAACGATGTTGTTTCTACAACCGGCGTAAACGGGCCTTCATGCGCTATCAAGCAGTGAGCGTGCGATGTCCTGTTCAGGTGACATCAAATCCAACAGGATGCCATAAATAAACTACACACCTACGCAATGATTACATTCAGGCAAACTTTAGAATACAACCTCTTTGGACAATTGATATACTTATTGAAAACAAACTACAAAATGTAATAACTTGGAAAATGCCGTTTAATACTTTTTAATAGACTTAATTTTCGCTAAATTGATCTATCAACTTTTAATACTTTTTAAGACCCCGCGGACACCCTGAATACTAAAAGAGGACAAAACAATACAATATAATACAAATGAGCTACAAGTGGATAAGGGGATCAAACAGATGGAATGAAATCAAAGAGGAATAGTGAGCATCATGGAAGCTGTCAGGTGTTGCGCAGCACAGAGATTCAGAGCATTGCTGTCAAGCAGGGGAGGCTTTGTTTTGCTGTAGTAGCTAATGGGTGTTGATGAGTTAAGAAAGTAAGAGCAGCAGGGAGAGAGAGGGAAGAAGAGAATGTAAAATGCCAGGAGACGGAGAGATAAAAGAGAAGGGAGCGCCTCTTCACGATGAGTGCTATGAATAATGTATGGCGCACACGACTTACACAGCACACTGGCCTGTCCGTCACGTCCAGCTGGCTCACGGGATCACGGAGGAGATACATCGTCCTGTCAGCTGGCGCCTGTCTTCTTGAGCTAAAAGCGTGCACGCAAAACCCTGCAACAGCACGAATTTACACGTTATTTTAATTAAGTTGACATAAGGCGAGTCATATATTATACAAAGTGTCATTAAATGTACCCTAGATAATCAAATGTCATCATATTTGGTATAAAATTGCAGGTGTATGAGCACAAAAACATTAACTTATGGACAAAAACCACATTGATGGCCAATTGTGTATTGATGAAATGCTTAGGGAAATAAAAGGTAATTGTGATTTACTGTCAATAGAGAAGAGAAATGTCACATAAAAAATGTTGTGTGGTAAGAGACACACTGTTCTATATACATGTCATCCAGCTAAGTCATATGAGGACAACATATAAAAGGAGTATTGCTCATTGTGTGGACATGTTGGACTGCATTGTGAAAGATCTACATTAAAGCTATGCTGTTCAGGGTGCTACTGCTGGTGCTGAATATGGTATTTCCCAGCAGGTGATGGTTACTATCTTTTTGCAAATGATCTCTTATTGAGATTGGAACAATTCTAAAATCAAATTAGTTGGAAAGTGGAAAGTTAGATTGTACTTCTCCAAAAGCACAACATGATGTGAGGGCAGGGGGTTGATAGGTTTGCTGATAACCGAGTTATTATACCAAAGGTGTTTTTTGATGCCGGCAAAACTCTAATCATTAAAGTAAACAGCAAATCTAGTGCAGATTATCTGGAAATTGAAACAGGTGTAGCCTACTGACTTTGGCACACTATTCTTCAAAAGCTTTCTTCACAAAATGATCTTTGGCCGACAACAGACACGGCTAGCAGAGAGCACTTCAAGTGAACAACAACAGCCCAGTTTAATTTTGGCTGATTATCAAGGACACACAGATGTGATCGCACCGTAGGCTGATGTAAAAGATAGTGGACCAAACAGTAGAGTTTGGTAGAGAAAATATCTGTTTTTCAGCATAGCACAGACACAAAGACTTTGAAATTGTGCATGTAATAAACAGGAGGGGAAATATATCCCTAATTATGGATCTAATATTACATTTGATGCATTATTATTATTTATGCTGTTTTTTTTTACGGCATAATGAAGTGCAGACTATAAAAACTGTTCCGTTATTTTTCTTTTAAATTAACATGTCTTTGTCTCCCTGGCACAAATAGGGAATAAATAAACAAAACAAAATAAACAACAACAAAAACACATTGGTATCCGCCAAGAACATTTCAATTGGTGCATCCCTAAATACAACAAAACGTGCTGTTTACATCACTCACACAAAGCACGTGCACGCAGGCAATATCAATGCCAGTTTGAAATGTCATTACTCCTTATATAATGCTGTGAGTCTTTATTTAATGTGGGGAAAGAACACAAATAAAACTGCTGCAGTAGATCTAAGGGATTATCGGCCAAGGACATTGTTGTTATGTTGAGGTAATAGCTTTGACCTGCATTGTTTGGGAAACAACATTTTACTGCCTTGTACAATGGTTAAGACGATATTATTGGAGGTGTGAAGTGCTGATGGCCGGTTTTCCCTGAAGGCTTCTGTATTTTACAGAGCAGAAAGCTGCTCATTGCAGAGGTGCAACTTGCTGAGTAAGTAGCTTTGTTGAGTTGATGAGCACGCTCAGCAACTGCTTTATAATAAAATGACATATGCTGTTTTATTGCTGGATCTAGAACCTACCGTTTGGCAGTGTGAATTATCAGGCTGCTCAATCTAAAATGGATTTGGCCTTTCTTAAATAGCATTTTGCAACTGTTCAATTCATGGCCTTGAAAAACATGGTCTGGTTGTCCCCTAAGGAGTCAAAGGAGCACAGTTTGTCCTGTGTCCTCCTTCTTTCTTTCCATCTCAGCTGTAAGAGCCCATCGACCCAGAAACACATTCTGTGGCACAATAGATCCACGCTCGCTTCAGTGGAAACTGGCCATCTGAGGTTATTAAAGGGGCGCGGGGGATGAATGTCAATGACAGTGTGACTTGGATGCAGAAAGACAAGGCAACCTAGAAAAGGTGTTCTTAATGTGTTAGAGAGAGAGAAAGGTCAATATCGTAACACATCAATCATCATTCAAATTCCCTTCACGAGATACACTCGCATGCACAAATGCACACAGTTGCTAATGGTGCATCGTAACCTTGAGGGACCTTCTCAATGACACTGTGGGTTCAGAGCAAATTGTGGGTTGCCGAAATAGTTAGTGTTTCCGGTGTTGTGTGGCATATGTTTGGCATACGCTATTACTTTATTATAATATAAACCCAACATGGGGATGTTATAGACATACTGAGTCAATCTTTATATATTTGGTATAAAGATCCAGTATTATAAACTCAACCAGAGGGTCCGGAAGGCACAAACACAACCAGCATTTAGGATGAAAGTAAGCACAGAATATATTTTCTGGTAAACTAATTATTATTTGTAACAGATCACACTTATTATTAGTGTGACCTGTGATAAAGGGGTTTTCACGAGTAGGGAACATTCCATGCCATGACATCCCTAATATGCTTGTGGTGTAAAAAGAACAACTAAGAAGTAATGTATCATTTTAATTGTCAAATATGAGGACAATCCTCTCTACAAACCTCCAATACAGTGAACCAAGACTGTTCCAATTATAGGCAATGACAAACATTTATCATCTAACCATTTCAAACTTTGCAGATGTCCAGCAGAGTTAATGCTGCTAAAGCACTTATGACCCTTTGTCCAGTGGAGACAATAGAGACAAATGTTTATGGGAGCCAATGAGCCATATTCTGTCAGCTGGCTCACAAAGAGCAATACTAAATGTCTGCTATAAAACTAAATTAGATACAGAACCAGAGTATTATTGACAATCTTCTGGGTGGCGCACAGACAGCATGGCCAATACTCTTCTTGGCTAGAAAGGGGGGGTTCACTTTGAGCTACCACTGATTGTGAGGAGTGGGCATCAGTTGCCCATTGAGATTGATGGGAAGTCAGTAAACCGCCTGAGGCCCAGCAGAACACCGAGACACATCAGAGTCACAACCTGTTTTTAACGGCGGATATGCTCATGCATACAAGGAATTTGACTCTGGCATTTGATTATACCTTAACAACACCGCCAAAAGTTAAGAGTAAGGAGCAGACCACCTCTTCTTAAGAAATATATATATGAGCTACAGTAGGTGACCACCAAAATATGGTTGCCTAAATTGAGCAAGGAATACAGCAGACTGTAGCATAATTGTAAGCCCTAACAAAAGAGAAAATATTAAACTACAGAAACCATAC